TTTTCGATACAGTTTTCTCTACAAATAAATTCTTTCATTTCAAACCACGTTAAGATAGTGGTTGTTAAAATTATGTTTCACATGAATTTTACATTGATAATACGTATCTTCACTTCAGGGCTTTTCCTGGTATTTTCTACATACTCCAAAATGTGTCCTGCAGACCACCATGTACTCCTGCACAACATTCAATAAATATTTTTGCCTCTTAGCTTCCACATTATCCCTTTCTAATGGTCCTCTGGTGAGAAGGGTATTAATTTCTCATATCTCCTCATCAAGGTCAGCATTTGTCTAAAAGTAGATCACATTTTTCAGTTCCAGAGGCAAGTGTATACATTTTCAAGACGAGACTAAAATTCTTCTCTAAATTCTGCTGTCATTCGCTTTCCCTCCAATATAATTCAGTGCAATGCAAACTCAGGCAGCAGATAGGAAAAAATCAATCTGATACTGAGATTTAGAAGTCCTTAATATAATCTGACTTTAATGAATGGCATATGCAGAACAAATTAGAACTACTAAAATTACTTCTACTGTAAGTACAATTTGAAGAGTATTGCACATAAAGATACAATATTACATATTGCTTCAGGCAGTTATCAAACTCATTCAATATTTTACAATGTTAACAAAGTGAGTTTATATTGCTAACCATATTTATGTTGATCTTAACATGATTCGCAGTATATTACCCTTTTTATAAAATATTTACTGTTTATTACTATTTTGTCAAAAGTGAAACCTGTCAGCTCATGTCTCACTAGAACAAAACATTCTTAATTGGAGACAGAAGACCACTTGTTTCTAGAATTAACTCTTCACTCTGCTACTTTGCCTTCTATCTTAGCAAAAAATTGCTGCAAAAGTCCATCCTGAGAGTTCAAACCAAAATGCAAGAGCAAAATTCTTCTCTCCCTCTCTCAATAAATTCATTTTTCACTTAGTACTATTGCTATTAAGAAAGCCTCATGAGTTTAGTATATTCACTAACTAACTGCTGTATCTTCACTACTTATAAATTGGTTTTAGAAATTTAGCATTCTCGTGTCCTTTTTGTGAGGGATTGGGTGCGTGTGGGCTTCCAGTGTTGTTGACCTGGGCAAGATCCACAGTCCAAGAGAAACTTGTCTACTTCTTCAGACTGAAAATAGACCAGACATTCCAGATGTCAAAATAAACTTCTGTTAAACTTGATTCCCCCCCTCCAAAGGTGAAAACCGGCCGTGTCCAGCATTGCATGTGCTATATGCAATTTGAAAGTCACTAAGGAGAAGGCAGGTAAGGGGTCCAGCACCAATTCCAGCATTGCAGCTCCTCCTTATGCCAAAGGTGGCAGTTAATGAAACTGCACTGAAATTCTCAGCTCAGACTTTATGAAGCTCGTAACTTGATGAAAATAATCTTTCTTGAATAAAGCGTTCTGCATTTACTCTTCAAGCACAAATTGAAGCCTTCTAAGTTTGAAAGGAAGGAAACTTGAAGCTTTAGTGAGAGGACAGACAAGGATGAAGACTCCTTTTGTATTAAAAATGGGGTGCATGTGGAGATTTAAAGCCTCCCCATACTCACTTCAGACACAATGAACTTTATACGGAGAAAGTCTGCAAGAAGCTGCATGCCAAGCTACATGCCACTACAGACTAGCTTCCAAGTCAATTCATGAAGGAATCCATAGTGCTTAAAATGACTGGAAATTACTTGGTCTCTTCTAATTTTGTGGGTTTAACTCTTCTCAGGACCAAGTTGTGTTGCTCATGGGAGACCACAAATACAGTTTTGACACCGAGCCTGGATTTCAAAGGCTACTTCATGAGTTAAGACTTCATCAGTTTATAAAGTTTTGGACTTAGAGGGTGAATTAGAATTAAAACTGATACAGATGAAGTAGGATTTCTGCTGTTATCTCTGCAATGCCACATATAAAAAGGAGAAGACTACAGTTCTCATAGAAGTGTTAGAATGGTAGCTTGCCATGCAAATTAGGCCCAAGGAGAATCATATGCTTCTTATTTTGCAGCTCAGCTGCCTAACTTCGGTATTTGCACTCAGAGCTTCTGTAAGTAGCAGAGTGGTTCTGAATGAGCATTGACACGTCTAAAGCTGCCTAAACACACAGCAGAGGCAGACAATGAGACCTGCCCCCAGGCGAGTTTCCATGTGGTGGATTTCGTAGCCTAAATCAGGCCTTGGTTAATAAAGGTCCTCAAAAGCTTTTTTCTGTCCTGCTCTGTAACTGAGCTAGCAGTTCGGCAGACACCATTATAGTTAAAGCAAGTTTCTAACACTCTGATTAAAAGAAATATTCAGGAATTAGGGCAAACATGGCCTCTTCTAAACAAACATGGTTTTAATTCACTGCTGAGTAACGCTGCTAGTAACAGAAACAGAAAATGCCAAATAAGACAGAACAAGAATTCTTAATAGGGCAGCATCGAGCCTCTGTGGGAGGAAGTCATCAGACCTCTGGTAGCAATTACAGGTTTTTTACGGTGCTAAGCTTTATTTTTATTATGACCCTGCTGTTGCAAAGATAGCGCTCTCAAATTACCTTACCTACATACCGCATTAAACAACAGGCTTGCCCAGTTTCCAGGGCCAGATGGTTCTCCAAAGTTTAGTACATCATTGGATTTACATATAAGAAAAAGCATTCACGTTGCTCAACCAAGCCAGTAAATAACTTCTCTAGTCTGGTGATAGACAATATGTGGATTAAAAGTTTATTTCCTTTCCTTTTTGCAACTGATACCTCAGATGTCTGAGCAAATCTGTTCGTTGAAGTTGTAATGAACACTGTTGAACACCGACAGGCCCCTGCTGTGCCCAAAGTCTGCATCAAGAAAACATGCTGGGCCAAAACCTTACCCACCAAAAACTCAACTCAGCCATTGCTGAGGATTAGAAGTACAAATTAGAAATTAAGATGATGGCTTAGTAAAAACTGGAAATACCCTGTGTAAATCACCAATGCTTTTCAATAAAGAGGGGAAAGCAAAGAGTTTCAGTCTCCGTACTGATGCTGCTTGGAGTGCTACTGGGTCACATCCAGTGATCTGTGAGGATCCCAGCACCGCTACTGCTGTAACGTTGAGCTGGTTAGGAATGAATTGGAAGGAATGAGCAAAAGACATTACAAACACTAACATTTTAAAATCAACACATTGGTTAGCATTTAAATCACAGATGTATAGTTACATATGTAACAATTTAAAATAATCACATAACTAAACAGGACTGAGGTGCTTGCCCAGTTTATGATGATGTCAGCCTGAGATTCCTGGTTTAGAAGTTAATCTTTCAGGCAGGGAAACCTCTGACCTATAAGAGCTTAAGGCCTTTTAAAATAGCCAGTGGATTTGGTGCTTTTTGGGTACTTGCAAAACTCAAAGTAGTAGTTCTTAAGAGGGCAATCTTGGAGTTAAATTCATTCTTGAGTATAGCAAATACATACTTTGAACACATGGAATAGCTACTGGGGATGTATTTTCAGAAATCTAGGATAGCTAAACACTTTGAAATCTTTAACTTTGAAATCTTTAAAAATGTTACTATAGGTTTAAAATGAAGTTTAGAAATTTTTTTAAGATCTAGTTATTAAAGTGATTAATAGGTAATAGTGCTGAACTAGTCACTTATTCGTGAGTATGAAAGATGACTCGAGGTGCCAAACATTACTGAGAAATGAATTAAGCACTCTAAAAAGGCTCTGAAAACTAGTGTTATAAAGAACTGTTCATTTAAAAAAAAAAAAATAGCATTAGGATTTTTCTCTTTAAACTGCTTTTACACCAAAAAACAATATTCCTGCTTCACAAGTTTGTCATTAGTGTCCTGATTAATCAACTAGGAAGTCAAGTATTCACACTAAATTTTTGAACATTAATTCCAGTATTAGTACAATTTCTTTGCCCAAATTTTCCACATTCCATAATAAACTGCACAGACCATTTTATATGGACAAAGTTGTTTAAATTTGTATTTCTGGCAACTCTGCCTCAAAGAGGAATTTTCACTGCAATGCTGAAGACAGTCTTCAGCTTTTTAATACCATAGTATTGTTCAGTAACAATTTAAGTATTTAAGAGCATTTGAGGTATTCAGAAACTGATTCAGAACCACTTGGTCGGCAGATCAGCACAAGCTAGTTGGGCATTTCCACTTGTTCCAGTTTGTTAAACATGATACAGTATGCACCTTCACAGCATTACTACAACAGTACCCAAATACTGTTTTATCTTTTTTACCAAGATTGTTTTTGTCTATTTATAGTTTACAATTGTCCAGAACTTGCTTGAAAATATTTCCTTGAAAAACTGAAGGCAGTTTGTGTGATCAAAACTGTTTCTTCCTGAGCATGTTTACTGCTGACGGGGAACCCAAATACATTTCCAATTAGATACTGCAAGGCAAAAAATCCGATAAACTAACATACATTGGAATTGTACTTAAATATCTACAGGTCCTATATTAATTCCAGTTTTGATGTTGAAGGTATGCTCTGTTGTAAAAATAGTATGAGATATCACACACATTTACCTTATTAATGCACATTTTTAAACAATCTTTGAGGATTCAAAGAGAACATAAAAGCTTCACAACCATTAGCTGATGTAGTACGACGCTAATAAGAAGCGACACAGACTCTCTCCATCTCCTCTCTCTCCCCTCCAGTTCCATCACCACAGCCATTTCATCATTAAAATGAAAAACAGTATCAGAACAGTTCCACGGTTGGCATCGATACAGATCGGGTGCCTGTTTTGCCTCTAAGCAGAGAAGGTGAGAAATGTGGACACTGTGGAGTCAGTGTCCTTTGCACACTGCAGCAGGAGGAGCAGAAATGCAGCCTGGATCAAAGACAGAGAAGCACCAACTAGTAAGAGTAACTAGACTGGTCGATTACTTAAGCTCACCCCACTGGGAACAGCTGTAACATCTCACCACAATACCACACTGTGCAACCTGGGTATAGCCAGAATTAAGAAAAAAAGCCAAACTGGTTCTGTGTAGTTGATTTTATTATTACATACTAATAATATTTATTGACACAGCTGATATCAGAGTAAACCCTTGTGAGACAAGTAAGTGTCATAATGCGAATTATGGAACTGAAAATGGGTGTAAAGTGTGGAGCAGCACAGCACCCAAATTAAAAAAAGAATCAATGCTGTGAAAACTCGTGCTATTAGACTTCACTTAAATATCCTGGGAGAGGCCTGAAGTTCACGAACTTCCCAAAGAACAGGAAAAGCCGTGTGCATCCCCCCAGTGAACCCATCAGGACTTACTTCCATAAAGACTTCTAGCAAATTCAGTGTTTAAATCTACATATTCATATGCTTCTTTATTCTAAGAGCACAGTAAGCTGATCTATGCTACACACGTTGTTTCACTCTTTTGGGGCAAATTACAATCACAATTTCCTCCAGTTTTAAACAGCTATTTCAACCAATATATATACATACATGTGTAAACAAAATGCCTAAGTAAGGGCTTAAAGCAATTTCACAGAAGTATCCCAGTTCAGCTCTTTGTGCTCTTCACTTCAAAATCCAAAGTGCCAAATAGAAGCAACAAAAGTTTTCACTATTGCAGTCTCAAATAAAATAATGATCCCGTTTACTTGTGGCTTTGAATGCTTTCTAGAATTTCACACAATTCCAATTGATTCAAAAGGGTTAAGAACAGGAATAATACATTCACAGTAACTGCACAGCTTGCATGGCCAAAAGTCTCAAAACTAATTTTTAAACTATTATTAACAAGTAAAGGAATGTACACTTTGACAGTTTAACATATAACTCAAAAATAGACAACTACTGCACTGATCCAGATTGGTTAATGCATAATATTTGAAAATATACAAAAATCTGAAGTTATTACATGAAATTAAAACCTGGGTTTAAAAAGTGCACAGTAGAAACTGAAAGGTCATTACTGTATAAATTATCCACAGAGTGTGTATTTCCTGGTTTAGAGCCAACATTAAGTTCTGGTTTATCTGTTACAAGTTCTAGATACTTTAAAGCCATTTACAGCACCAAATCAGTTTTCACTAGACCCAGTACCACCCTCTGCTTCCTGGAACAAACAGGAATTGGACACTGGAGGTTCACTTTCTGCATCCTGTGCAGCAGCAGCTTCCAAAGACAGTTGATTTGCTGTAAGCTATCGATTTTTGGTCTTTTTAGAATTTCCCTGCAACAAGAAACAAGTGAACAGAGAATGTAATTCATGTAAGAAAATCTAGATGGGTAACATAGAAAACCTGATGTCTGGTAATTTATGCCTACAGCAAACAAAGTACAGTCAAACTGGAAATAAACAGTCCACAGGCCTTTAATAATGGAAAGTTGTAACTTTCTTCTCTGAACATCCCCCCAGCTTCACAGGCCTAATGGAGGAAGGTAACAGATTCTGTTTCAAATAAGCACAACAGAACCTTAATTCATCTGAAACCTGGAAGGGGGAAAAAAAGACATTTGAGTTCTGTCCCAAGGCATTCAGTTTTATTAACAATGCTAATATTATAAGGGCAATGAAGGCAAGTCAAATCATAATCCACCCTTAAGTGATATTTCAAATATAAACTTTATAGGATAATTGACTCAAATTAAAAATCAATCCCCTACGTTCATTTTTTTGGAAAACAAATTTAATTTTAACTTGGTCTACACAAAATATTCCTAATAGAGAACAGAATTTGTCCTACAGCTAACCAACTCGCATTTGACTTGCAACAATTCCACAAAGCAAACACATACCTTAAAATAAACTTCTGTGCAATAGTTCCTTGGTGGCAACTCTCTATCTTCCCCTTTCCTTAAGACAACATTTGTTTTCTACCTAAGCAACAACTCTCCCCAGGTGCTAACGGCTTTAACTGTGTCATTTTGATTTCAACCAAATCACCTTCTACATTTGGGAACATCTGAAAATCTGTGTGTACTGGTGTGAGATTCTGAACGACCTCCTTACAGACAGTAACACTTCAAGGCTTAGAAGTATGACAAGTGAAAAATTCCAGAAAGCATTTTCTAAAAACATGAAGTGCTATGGTTGGCATGCAGCCAAGAGTTTTCCTCTAAAAACATGAGAGCTTATACACCAAAAAGTAATTTTAAAGATGACAGTGCCAAGTTAAAACACTCCAGTGAATTAAAACAGTTCTATACATAGGGCAAAGAGTTTACTCTAAATAATAAAAAGTGCCACTGTGAGACCTTTAATCAAAACATGGATTTATTTGGGGTTTTAACCCTTCACTGAAACCTGCTTCCAAGGATTCCACAATTAAGGAGAGTCACAGAATGGTAGGGGCTGAAGTGACCTCTCGGTCCAGTCCAACCCCCCTGCCAAAGCCGTCACCCAGAGCAGGTTACACAGAAACTCATCCAGGCAGGTTTTGAAAGTCTCCAGAGAAGGAGACTCCACAACCTCTCTGGGCAGCCTGTTCCAGGGCTCCGTCACCCTCACAGCAGAGAATTTTTCCTTATGTTCAGATGGAACTTCCTGTGTTCTGGTTTGTACCCATTGCCCCTTGTCCTGTCACTGGGTACTACTGAAGTACCATGATGGTCCCATCCTCTTGACATCCACCCTTCAGATATTTATAAGCATTGAGAAGATCGCCTCTCAACCTTCTCCAGGCTAAACAGCCCCAGGCCTCTCAGACTTTCCTCTTAAGTGAGATGAGTGTGATTCTATGATTCTAGTCTCCCTGTATCACCTTTGTAGCCCTTTTCTGGACTCCATCCAGTAGTTCCCTGTTTCTCTTCAACTGGGAACCCAGAACTGGGCACAATACTCCAAATATGGCCTCAATAAAGCAGAGTAGAGGGGGAGAAGATCCTACCTTGACCTGCTGGTCACACTCTTCTTAATGCACCCCAGAATACCACTGGCCTTCTTGGCCACAAGAGCACACTGCTGGCTCATGGATGACTTGTTATCCAACAGGATTCCCTGGTCCTTCTCTGAGTAAGTCTTCATCTCCTCCCTAGGCCGAACTCAACACATTCCAGTTGCTCTCTCACACAAAGAGCAGCTCCACCACCATGCCTTGCTGGCCTGTTTTTCCTAAAAACTACGTAGCTGTCCATGACAGCATTCCAGTCATGTGAGCCATCCCACCAGCTTTGTAATTGCAGTGAGATCACAGCCCCGGGACCACACCCAAATCTCTAGTTCTTCCTGTTTACTCCCTATGCTGCATGTGTTGGTGTCCAGGCATTTCAGAGAGGGAATTGACCATGCAGGTTTCCCTGGAGGGCTACAAGTGGATCCACCATAACTATATAACTCGAGGTGCTTGGCCTTCTGGTTCTCATCTTGGAAGGCTAAGGAACATTTGTTGCTGCGTTGGTTGGCCTGACTTATTCCCCAGTTGGACAGAACAGCATGAGCACTGCCATCTTGGACCCTGCTTCCCAAGTACCAAGTTGTCCAGCCTGCTGCCAAGGATTCCCTTGGCTCTCTAGACAGGTGGATTCCATCCCTCCCCAACAGGTTATGGTCACCAGGAAATGTCCCATCATCATAAAAGCCAAAACCCTCATCACAGCACCAGCCACACATCCAGAAGTTGGCAGGTACTATCTGCCTATTTCTGGCCACCCCTTTTCCTCTAACTTGTAAAAATGGAGAAGATAACTTGGGCACCAGTGTTTTTCACTTGCACCCCCAGGGGTTTATAATCATGCTGGATTCTGCCCAGGTTCTGGCTCACAGGTGTCATTCATGCCAACATGGAAGAGTAACAGTGGATGGTAATTGGTGATCTTGACAAGTTGTGGCACCTTCTCAGCAACATCTCAGATCTTTGCTCCTGGGAGGCAGTATGCTTCTTGTGACTTCCTGTCAGGTCAGCAGGTGGAGGCCTCAGTGACTTTTAACAGAGACACACTCATTACAAGCACTTGTAGGTTTGAGGGTTTGGTTTTTTTTGTTGGTTGGTTGGTTTTGTTTTTCATTGTTCGGGGTTTTTTGGGGGATTTTTGTTTGATTGGGTTGGTTTGTTCATTATCCATTCCATGCTGCCAGTGCCATTTCTCCATGCACACTTTTCTCACGGGTGCCTACAGGTGTTAAAGCTTCATATCTGTTTTTGGTGGTAAAGCTGCAGGGTGGAGACTGAAGCAGAGTCCTGCTTTTGTGGGTCACCAGGGTCCAAGGTGCCATATTCTCTGGGGTGTCCACTACAGGAACACAGTTACAAAACCACCTATATTTCTCCATCTCAGCTCCTCTAATACTGTGTAGCTAGTTTATAATAATAAATAGTAATAATGCTAGTGTGTTAGTTCCACAGCCATACAAGTGAAGGGTAAAGGCCTTCACAACATCTGTTCCTCCCTAGAAACAGAGTAAGATTCACCATGGTTCAATCACTGACTGTTTGAAACAGCAGAGTTCTGTACTTTTTAAGATAAATCAAAAACTTGTTTCTGATAAATATGTAGACTCCTTGCTTAGAAAGGAGCAAGAAAAGAATTCTTGCTTAGAAAGGAATTTAAGTGTGCATTTCAAGTTCACAGAAGAATTTAAGTGGCAAGTTTTTCATTCCTACACGAGCGAGACAAGCTAGAATATGAAAATAAGACAGAGAAAAAGAATAGCTGCCAAGAACCGAGTATGCTGAGAGCAAGAGAGGAGTGCAGAAAGGACATTCCTACCAATAAGTTAATCATAAACACCCAGTATCACTAGCTGGATTTGCAAATAGTTCCATCTTCACCACAAATAAACAAAAAGGCGCTGATCTTCAGAGGCTACCCTTTGAAAGCCTGCTTTGAAGCAGTGACATACCGTGTTTGCTATTTCCCACACAGGTTTTGCAGGAATTTTTTACTTCACTGAACAGAACCAGGTTTGAAGTTTCTTTTCCAGCTGGATGAGGACAGGAACTACAGCTTGTGTTTTTTGTGGGACTGCAGGAAGGCCAGACCTCCAAGCTGCAGCCAGTGGCTAATGGCAACACCTGGGAACTTACCTTACTAGTCATCTTTAGTGTATCAATTTCTTCCCTTTGTTTAGTTAAGGTTTCATTCATACTGCAGAGATGGTCACTCATCATACTTAACTGATCTTCGTAGCTTCTCTTTGTCGTCATCAATTCATCCTAAGGGAAAAAAATAACCAGAAGCCTTTGCTCAATATTAGTGACAAATGGCAAAGCAGCCAACTTCTCTCTCCACTTCATAAGCTACACTTTTGATGCCGTGTACAATTAAGCTAAACCACTGGAAAAAAAAATCACTTTATTATAGAAAGTCAATAACTTTTGTTTTACCTTAAGTCTCCTGCATGGTCTGTTCCCTCTATTTTTGCACCCTTTCCTTTATAATTCCCCCCATACACACACTGTTTATGGTTTACAACAGATAAGTTTTCCAACATTGCTTCCAGACCAGAAACAAGGTTCTAGGGTAAGAGCACAGCCTGTACATCAACATATGTAGCATACAAAGCTGAAAGAATCAGCAATCCACATGCAGTAGCAAATCTCTCTGGGATTGGAGACACATGGTGGGACAGTGTGCATGACTAGTATGCAGCAATGAAGGGAAACAGACACTTTAGGAAGGACAGGGTAAGAATGGGAGAAGTCATGCTCTACGTGAAGGAGAGGTTTTGAAGACAATTAAAGATCTCAGAGGTAGGGATCAGAGGAGAACAAGAAGGGTGATAAGGCAGGCATCTGCTGCAAGCAGATAAAAATCCATCAGACCCAGGCCCTGATCCTCATGAGGAATTAACTACTTTGACATCTCCTGCAAGGGCAACGAGGTGGAATGCAAGCAATTCAGGAGTTCTCAAGTGCAGTAAAGAACTTCTTGATACTAGTGATCAACAGGCCTAAGAGATGCTCTTGCTGGACCTGTTACTCACAAATAAGGAAAAGCTGGTCAGGGATGTGAAAGCCAGTGGCAGCCTTGGCTGCAGCAACCATGAGTTAGTGGAATTTAAGATCCTGAGGGAAGATGAACAGTAGAATTACGGCAACCCTAGATTTAAGAATATTTTGGCTTTTTCAAGGTTTGCTTGGCAAGATCCCAGGTAAAACTGCCCTGGAAATTAAAGGGGCCCAGGAAAGCTGAATGATCAAGGAGAGAGCAAAGAACAGTCCAGTGCTCAGGAAGCGAAGCTATTGTGGCAGGAGGCCAGCATGGCTGTAGAGGAAACTCCTGATTCAACAGCTTGATCTGAACTCTCTCCGCTCTGACCAAAGCAGGGGACCAGATTACCTCCGCAGAACCCTTCCAACTTAAACAATTCTGTGATTCAATATTATGCAGACTACTAAATATACAAATTGTGCACCTGCTATCTTTTCTTAGGAAATTTAATATGTAATTGGAAATGAACATCTCATGCTGAGTTGAGTCTTGATTGTGGAATTTGTTAAAGAAACAAACCAAAAGAGCACTTTGTGTTGATTAACAATTCTTTTAAGTCTGTATCATCATATTCACTGCCTATATGGAGCATTTTAGGTACTCACCATCTCAGACAGGTGAGCAATAAAGAGGTGAACTAAATATAAAGGAAACAAAGGCATTTATGAACTGTGTATTTAGATATACTTTTAATATTGGTGCCTTTCTCATCTGCACAGAGAAGGACAAGGGGATAGGACATTCACAGGGTATCTGGCATAAGAGTTCATTATCTGTTGTTAACAACAGCTTCTTAAATTTTACCCCAGTTATTTTTGCCATCCATCTCAAAGAACCCACCCTGGCATTTCTAAGATTTTTCAGTCCCAGGTAAGAGAAAGGATTAAGAATTTGGTGTATCATCTGAAATCAGTCACGCAACCACACTTTTTAACACAACACCACTACCCCCGCCGCCATTTTCACAAAAAGCCTTAACATCAAATGCGCTAAAACACAGGTTTTACTGCAGCAACATTTTCCTTGCAATCGTATCCTACTTCAACTTTATAGCTGGGATTTGAAGTAGTCTTTTATATCTTAGTCTTAATTTTGAATTAAGTCTTTTATAAATCCCATTGGAGTTTTTACATCACACAGCTAAGGACCCACTAAGGGCATGACTGTGCTTAATGGTTTTAATCTTTCTCCATCAACTTCCCTTACACAACTGGACAATGTACCTATTATATAATATAACATTTTACTTGCCTGTAATCTGCTGATGTTTTGACTAGCTAGTTTCAGCTCTTCTGTGAGCGATTCCTTGGACTTCTCTGCTAAAGACAGTCTTTTGGCAAGTGCTCGACACTGTCAATCACAAGAGGACAGGGAGGGTAGAAGGGAGGGAAGTTAGTTCCAGAGTACTGCCTTGTGCCATCTTTAACCAACTGCTTTGGATGTTTCCATCTTTCTGTAATCTTTAAGTTTCAAGAAACTTAGAGTTTGTGCACATTTTTAAATGCAAAGGTAATGTAATAGTTAACATTAAGTTTTTGTTTCATTTTACAGAATTACCACATCACAAATCCTCTAAATATCTTATTTTTCACATAATTACTAGGAAATATTTCACAAGTAACAACTTGCTTCACACATTGTTCATATATCAGAGGAAGACGGTTCCTCCATACTATGTCATCTATCATTAAAAAAACATTTAAGAGAATTTGCTCTCCCAGCCTCGAGTTGTGGTATATTCCCCATCAGTTAATTCCACAGACTGAAATGGCCACTACTTTCAAGAAAAAATTACCTCATGATTTCAAATGAAAACAGGAAAACAGGAAACCATATATATAATGAATAATTTTGTTCATTCTTGGAGTTACCTATAACTTATGCCTAAAGAACAAATTTCTCAGAGGAGAGCTGTTTTCATCACTTCACGATACACTCAAATATTTTTGGATGACCTCAACATCACTTGAAGTCCAAACTAGCCTGGTAACCAAGGCTAGCTGCTTCAGACTATAGGAACAAACCTATACATGATATACATTATGGTACTTAATATAACCAAGACAAAGCTACCAAGGGATTTTTTTTTTCTTTAATGTCTTTCTACCATATCCATTTTTACACATACTAGACCCAGGCCAACAAACATTACAGGAACAGATGTTTATGAAACATTATGTTTCATATATTCAAACTCACTGTCATAACACTTGCCTGCGGAAAGTTCAAAAATGGATTTACTGTTTCCAGTACAGGCACTGCCTGCATGCTCACCTCAGCATGAAAGTGTACTGATTTGCTGTCAGCAAGCTGCAGATGAGATGTAAGTTCTGCTATCCTTGCCATATAGTGGTTTTTTATCAGGTCTTCACGAGACTCAGCATCTGGAGCCTGGTAAAACAAAAATTTAAGCAGACAGATATTTGTGTTTAGCAGACTGAATACTTGCATCACAACATTGTACTCTAGACTGACTTCTCCTCTTCCCTCTTGAGGCCTAGGTCCTCTACACAAAAGAACTAAATTCCCCAAACACAACAAATTACAACAGGTCACGCTGCAATTTGTCACTCTGATGGCAACTCTTAATGTCAGACTTCCTTAAAGGACAAAGAGCTGACTGAAAATGTTAAGAACTTCTCTTGATTTAACATATCAAGTCTCTGATGAAAACAAAAAATCCAGTGGACTGCTTTCACCTACATAAAAACTTATTGGCTTCCTTCGCACAGCTCAACTTCAGCAGCTCACAACAGTCAGAACTATTTCTAATTCTGCATGTTCTGGAAATTTTGGACATTTGAACTTAAAAGAAGGAAAATCACCAGTTTACTGTAACTTACAGAGTAACCCATTAGAGGCAGCTTTCACGTGACTTGCCACTACCTTCATGTTCAGCACTACGCAGTAGCTTTAAGAACTCATATCAGTTATTCTCTGGCTCCCACCCCCTTTTTAATCATACCTTCAGAAGAAAAGGAAAGGCAAACTAAAACACACATCAGTTCCCTGCAGTACCAGGAAAGGGAAAGCACTGAATCTTCTCTGCTGGGTTCCTGCTGGGGCAAGTGTTACACTATAGCAGCACTAAATAGAGTTAGCATTTAGCCTGACAGCTGGTTTGAAGTTTCTCTGCATGACCTGTGGTTTTGGGTAGCCTGTACTTAAGTGTTAAACACCAGGCACCACAGTCAGTGACACTTCTGCAGCTTGAGCCCTTCCTCAGGAGCTAAGGTCTGAGGCCTGGAATGCAGTTAGGGTTACTGAAGTACAAACAGACCAGAGCTTTCCTCAAATTACAGAGAACAGACCTGGGCCACAGCTTGCACTGCTGCAAACTTCTAACATGAATAAAAGACAACTGTTTGCTAGACAGAAGAATAAAATTAAGAAATACATGGATTTCAGAAACTTGAACGCAGGTATGCAGACTATATGGGTGACTCATGCCATTATACTACAGTATTCTTTGTAGTTAGACCTCTGGAGTAAGTTTAAACAGAATCAGAACTGAACCAGATGTGCTTTGATAATGTTTAAAACAGATTACCTTCTCATTATCAGTAGTTACAGTCAACATTCCAATCTGGAAGGAAGAAAATAAACTGAAGTGAGAACTGCAAAAACAGACAGCATAGCTGCAAGTCATTTCACCTTCAGTCATAGAAGGACTTCAATTTAAAAAAAAAAAACAAAACAAAACACACCCACACAACAAACTTGCAATAGTTAAAATTCAAACCAAATTTAAGTACTTCCACCTGTAACATAAAGAAGGGTAATAATATATATGAACGCCCTGAATGCAATTAAAGCTGACAAACTCTGCAAACATATCCTTTGCCTTATGATGTACACGGGGAAAAAGCAACAAAAGCAACAAGATGCAGCTAACTTGTACAATTCTGCAACTACTTGATTATAAGAACCTTATATGAAAATTATATGATTATATTAAATTCAGAAGTACACTAGTACATTGAAACATTGCTCTTCATGTTGAAGAGCAAGGAAGCCAACTTGGATTTCTTGAGAACCTTCTGAATTCCTTTCTTTGACTAGTAAATTACACTGACAGTCCAGTGTGAAGCTCTGACTGAACTCTAGCAGCGGGGTGTAGGCCCATAACTAAGTTTCACAGAAGAGTATCTCTGTAGAGAATTAGGTTGTCTCCTGATCTCAACAGGACCAGAAATTTAGGTTTATGGGAAATATTTATACAATGTTGAGCTGTGACTTAAAATAAGTACTGTGGCTAGAGAAACCCATTCTCCCCGAACACCTATGGATCAAATACAGGATCAAAACCTTAAGATGCCTGTTTACTTCAAAATGGGGGATTTCAAAACAATCCACTGGTCATTTTTATCCTGCAGCAGGAAAGTGGGGATTAAAAAAAAAAAAAAAAAAGAAGAACTCTATTGAGTGCTGAGCTGAGCAGATTTCTTACAGATGACATCCCTACCAATACCACTTCAGAAGTGGTAATTCAGAGGAAAGGCCAACCCCTTTTAAGTACTAGAAATAAACAGGAAAAAGCCATTTAGCAACACAGAAGAGCAAGAACAGAATGCATGCCATATCCAAAAGCACTTGTTGAAACCAAGTTGCATGCATCTATGAAGGTTACATAAAAAGTAGCGCTCTAGAGAACACCAAAAGCTTGAATAGCTTCTTGTAGTTGAAATTAAGACCTAGTAAACTGACCTGCAATGTCATATAACCCATTTTAAAATACTAATTATGTACTTCTGTTTGCTTTAGCATACTAGGAGACAAAAAAAAAAAAGGTATTGGGAGCTCAGAGCGGATGTGGGATATATACTACTTGCAAAGCTTCCTAACTACAGAGTCAGAAAAATCTACACATTAAGCACATCTTATTTCCTTCCTCCTCAGTCACACAAGTACAGAATTATACAAACATCTCCAAGATACTAAAGACAGCAGTCTCAAAATCCAAGAAGTTCCAAACTCTGCAGAAAGAATTAGCAAGCAGCTTTGTAAATATAAAGAGCCCAAATGTGAATGCATTTCAACAAACACTCAAGAAAAAGCTTTCATTATTACTGTTCCACTGATCAAACAGTACTACTACTACTACTACAGAAAGTGGATTTTTCTCTGTTGAAGGAAAAAGGTCACTTACCAGACTTGTACTTTTAATAGGTTCCCTCAGACTCTTTTCTGTGGTTTCCTTCTTTTGTTCAGCTACATTTGGCAAAACAGAACTCTCTTGTATAACTTCAGCTAAATGTCCACTAAGGGAATTCTTCAGTTTTTGGTTTTCTTTCTCTAGCTTTATTTTAGCTAACTGGGCCTCCAGCATCCAGTGTTCTTTTTCTTGTTCAAGTTTTGCAATTTTCTCTGAACTCTGCTGGACCTTAGGGAAGGAAAGTTTACAGTCCAGATTATTGAACACAAGGAAAAAAGAACACATAAAGGAAATGTTTGAAGACAGAATTGGTTTAAACCATTACATAAGTGAGCAATGAATAATGCAGCAGGTAACAGCTACTGATTCCAGCTGTATGCTTAACAGTGGTCAAGTGTCCAAAATAACCATATTATTTATTTAGCCTGAAATATGCATCACAAAGTTACAGTTGATAGAACTGGCAATATCATATTAGGTAAAAAATCAAAGCAGGGAAGAATTTTACGAAAACCTGAAAGATGTGTGCCTGGCACTAGCACTGTCTTGTTCTGTGCTAGAAAGACAATCTCTCTCCTCCCAGCTGCCTGACCTCACACCGACAGAAGAACCCAATTGGCCTGACAAGAAATCAGCTATAGAATGCTACACACAGTATTGCTCCACACATTTCTGTTGAAAATCTTCTCATCCCTACTAATACACTTTGAATATATGCTACAAAAAAAAAAAAAACACAAAACACTGAAGTTTGTTTCTTCAAAGTTCAATGATAGTAACTCAAGCACAGTCTGAGCATTCAAGCTAATAAAAGAATTTTAATATTAATCAGTTTGTCAGTCTTATTCATGTGAGAGGATGTGCAAACTTAAACACCATTTAACCTCCCTCTACTTCACAACAAAAAAAATACATGCATACTGCAAGAATGATACACTGTAACCTATCAATGACTCTAACTGAAAAAAATCATTGTTCTTTACCAGTGCTAATGAATCCTGGCTAGTTCAAAGAAGTATTCAAACCCACACATAATATTAGAAATTAATACTGTAGTATTCATCTTGTGCATTTATTTGAATTATTAAAGACTGACTTTTAGTATTTATAAATTTAGACATCAATGCCATAATCCTGTCTCTTGTAACTACAAGTACATTCTGCAGGTACAGAGCAAGTCTTGGATAACCCAGCTTGACAAGGGTAAGTTTTACTTTCAAAATTCTACAATTAAGAGATCTACAGTCTAACATAAAGCTTCAGTAGATGCATCTCTGTGGTCATTTGTACACATGCATATATGGAGACTATTTGACACTATTTTATCTTTAAAAAATACACTATCATATATGTTTGTAAGATTTATACCAGAATACCTGTTGTGCAAGACCTTCTCTACTTTCTGTGGAACTCAGAAGAACTCTGCGGTTGGCTAAAGCCTCTTCATAAGGCACTGAATCTGCACAAGGCTGCAGAAGGATAAAAGAAACCTCAAAATATGTTCCACAGAAGACCAGAATATGCATTCTACATTTATTTTTCTTACTTCCCCTCTTACTTTACTAAAGGGAAGAAAAACATCTTCCAAGTGTTCACCAGCCTATAGAAAAAATGGCTCGAGCTCACCAAAAAAAAAACCACCCCAAAATGCACACCTGATGAAAAAGTGCTCAAAAAACTCCAGGTGTTAATTAATGATCAAAAGCACCTTAAAGTCCACTTCACAGACACTGCAGTAAAGTGATTTAATAACAACTGTAAAGCACACCACCACTTAATTGTTAATTTTAATGGAGACAACAGGGAGATCTGGCAGTATTCAACCCCTGGGTTCAACACATTTTGTCCAGCAAATCTCCTTTTCAGCTGCTTTCCTCCCTATTCTTCTCCACTGTCTCCCAGTGAATGCAAGCACAAGAATGAATGTGATGTCATTCACTCCGTACTCCTGGTGAATGCGGGCGGAAGTTTTGAATAAGCAGCTGCCCTCTTCTCCTTGGAGTCTTGGCACAGAAATAATTAGTGGAAATGGGTAATGGCAGAATTGGCACATACCCTCAGTTGTGACAGCAACTATGCTCTCCAGATTTTTCAATAGCATTGTTGCTCTAAGGGTTCCATTTCCTCAGCCAAAGGTTCTCCTTGAGAGAACCTCATCCATTCCAAAATACTGAAAATCCTTAGTTTCTATTCTCTTTGGCATAACCTGCTTCCAACAGAACTGTGCTTTCTCTGCTCAAGCATGCTAGCTGAACAAACCTTCTTCAAAGACTTCATGTAAGCTACTGCCTTTTTCTTGTACTGCAGCATGCACTCAGCTGAAAGAGGGCTGATGAACTCTGTTCCTCCCTTCGGCCCATAACTCAGTGAAGCAGTGAAGTGATCCAAGTTGTTGCTAAAGAACGAAGCAATCTAGACACATCAGAAAAAAAGCACCTTTTTAATTAAGTTTACCAGAAAGATTCATCAGAGCAATTATTCTTCCAAGAGAAAGACAAGTATTTAGTGAAACTGCACTTCACAAGAATTTCAAATAAGCTCCAGGCTCTTCCACAGAACTTAGATCTTACCAACCTTTAGGACAAGTGAAAATGGGCTTAAATTGCACCAAGGGAGATTTAGATTGGATATTGGGAAGAATTTCTTCACTAAAAGTGGTGAGGCTTTGGAACAGGCTGCCCAGGGAGGTGGTGGAGTCCATCCCGTGAGGGGTTCACAAAATGTGTACACTTGGCATTTCAGGACATGGTTTAGTGTTGGTCTGACCGCTGGACTTGGATGATCTTGGAGGCCTTTTCCAACTTTAATGATTCTATGATTCAAACACAAAGTATCCTCTTTCACAGTATCCATTTTTTTTACCCTGTCCTGGTTTTGGCTGGGATGGAGTTAATTTTCTTCCTAGTAGCTGTTTCAGTGCTGTGTTTTGGATTTAGTGAGAAAATACTGTTGGTAACACACGGATGTTTTAGTTGTTGCTAAGTAGCGCTTACCCTAAGTTAAGGACTTTTCAGTTTCCCAGGCTCTACCAGCGAGGAGGTGCACAAGAAGCTGGGAGGGAGCAGAGCTGGGACAGCTCACCCAAACTGGCCAAAGGGCTATTTCACACCATGGGATGTCATGCTCGGTACACAGAATGGGGGGAGTTGGCCAGGAGGGGTGGATCACTGCTTGGGCATCATTCAGCAGGTTTTGAACAATTGCATTGTGCAGCACTTGTGTTTTCTTGGAGTTTCTTTCTCTCTCTGATATATTCCTTTTCATTACAATTATATTATTACTTTTAGTTAAACTGTTCTCATCTAATCCCATGAGTTTTAGGGTGGTTTTTTGCCTGATTCTCCTCCACAACCCACTGCAGGAGGAGTGAGTGAGCAGCTGAGTGGCACTTAGTTGTTTGCTGGGGTTAAACTATAGCAGTCCTATTCAGTTGTTTTTCACTTGTAGCCTGAAAATACCTTGGAACAAGCATATTACAGATTATTAATATCAGAGGCACACATATAGATTTTCCAAATCATTCAAATAAGTTCTTTAAAAAAAAAAGAAAAACACAAGTTAGGGCATTATACTGAAACAAAAATATTACCTTGCCCACTCCATTTGTTAAAGCCACAAGAGAGGATAAAATACAGTCATTTGTAGTTATAAGTTTCTGTGTGGCAGTGGGAACATCTTGTTCTAAAGTAGCTTTCTGACTGTAGTGCTTGGAAATATCTAGAAAAAGAAAAAACATTTATGTCAAATTACGATTTTTGACTATATCAGAAACAGTTTTCAAATTCAGCCTATGGCCTCAGGCTTTGAATGTTTCTCCCCTCTAATTAAGTTGTATACAAGTTTATTCCAGCTACTCTTAGTTCTTCAGTATACTGCCTTGAACAACTGTTTGTGACCTTAACGAGTAGACACTATGCCTGTTACACAAGGAAGAATAAAAGTGTATGTTTAAGTGGATCTCTGTATCCCAAAAATCACTGCAATGTAGGGGATTCAAGCTCCCACTGAGCTAGCACTTCATTTCACAATTATACCTTCCATTTCCACATGTTTAAGTCAGAACACTTAAAAGCAGAATTTTTAGTCATGTTTTGTATCCAAGTGTTAAGCTTACATGACTTGTAAGGGAAAAGAGTATTTTAAGTCTATCATAGCAAACCTAAAAGACTGCCAGAAGTTTAGAGTGCTACTTTCTACAACAGTTGACTAGTATTACAACAATTCACCTATACGAATTACCTCTCCCTGGGAACAGCTCTATGATACAGAAGTTCTAGGATATACAGAAACATTAGTGTTTTAGATTCTCAAAGTTTTAACCAAACATCACTTCACTGAAAATGCAACATATCCATGTTCTGTTAAAAGGAAGGAAAGCCATTTTCAATGAGGAAGTTAAGTTTCAAACTAAATGCAGACTTCTTCACAAGCTTTGGTTATATACTCACGTTAAAAACCGTAATCAACCTAAAAACAGCAAGGAAAAAATCCTGCTTTGAAAGCATGTACTAGGTCAAGAATATGTAAATCAGGGAGAAATATGTATATTCAATGGCATTCCATTCTACATGCTAGTTCCACTACAGCAATGAAGTTCAGAAAGTGATACTTCTCATGAAGATCTACAGCAACACAGTTAAATATTCCAGCAACTTAGAAGAGCAAAGCTAAAAGAATGGAGAACTGAAAAACGTGTGCATGTCCAAAGCAAGCAGTTGGTGGGTTTAGTTTCTTACCTCAGTTTGTAAGGAAAAAAAACAAACCAAATTTATCACATATTACACATTCAGCATTGTTATGGAGAGAGTACACGTGTGCTGTGTTAAACAGAAAGCAGCAGAGCTGAAACAACAATATTCCTGTACTCTCACCTTTTAAAATCTCATGAAATCCATGAAGACTGGCAGCGATGTTTGTAAACACGTGGTTGTAATTTGTCCTAAGAAGTCCTTCTGGTTTGGTACCTGTTTGTCACATAGAAAGGAGAGGAAAATAAACAACCCACAACACTAAGATTTGACTATGAATGAAAACAGTTAACTTTGAAAATAATCCAATATACTACCTACTGGAAACATTTGCATGCAGTATGAGAATCAAGCTCATTTATTTAAATTTCTCCTTCAACATCAAATGTATATATACACACATCAAATTTCACCAGAGTAGGCAGGTAAAAGACTTGCAAGTTTCCTAAATATAATTCAAATTTTACAAATATCATCTGTTTTCATCTCAAAAAGCAATTACACATGCAGAAAGATTTACATGCTCACTTCTTCAGGAAGGACCATCTGGGTCCTTCTAAAGAGTGCCAACTGAAATAACCTGAAGCTTTACAATAACTGTTTCCTCTTATTACTTACAGTAGGTATTTGTAGATAGCTTCCCCACACATACACACAAAGGTTTTGCCTGATTTTATTTAGTCATTACCATGAAAGTTGTAGTTTAATAATCTTATAAACAAGAGGAGTGGGAAGTGATAATTAGTTAAAAATTAAGTTTACTAACAATTTAATGATTAAGCAGTGACAAACAACATACTGTTAATCATACTAGAAAAACCTACAGTCATTTCTTCTCCTCTGTGGTTAACTACAACTATCTAAAATGTGGTACACTTCTGCTTGATAACTTCCAGGCCTGCACCATGCCCACGTCTATCTGCGAGGAAGAGTGTGGAGCATTAAACACTCCCAGCCTGGATAAAAGAGGGTCCAGTGTGAGAGAGTATCAGAGTACACTGCTGAACTCACTTGCCCCATAATTTAGTCCGTACCTAAAGAGTACCATCAATTGTGTTTTCCTCTATCATAGAAGGGGAATTTTGCATGGGTGTACCCATGGCTAAAAAAAAAAAAAACATACAAAAAACCCCCCAAACAAACGGAAAACGCACAGAATAACCAAACCCCAAACTCAAAAACCAACACTGGTCCAAAAAGGAAAACCAGTACCTTCCAGCTGTAATGTAACCAACTTAGCCAAAACTGGCACTTACTTGGTAACGCAAGGAGACTAACATAAGTATGCAGCTTCTCAAAGACTGCAGTCAATCTTTTCATGTCTCTGTGTAGCTCCATATTTCTAGCTCTTAAAGCAGCTGTGCAAAGAGAAGACTCACACTCTTCTTCCAAACTAGGAATATATGAATCATTTTTTTAAAAAGTGAACAATTATCTTTAGCAAGTTCATGAGTTTTGGAGCAGACAACTAGCCTTTTCTACATCTAAAGTCCAAAGCAACACCAGACTAGGAATTTATTTTAGAAAGGTTAACATAGCAGAGTAACATAATAAAAATTACTGTGGGCATGTAATATCTGCAGCCTCGGGAGCTTCAGTCACAAGCCAGGAACAGTTTACACTCGTGGCAAGGAACTGATTGCACCACTTTAAAAACTTTCTCCTTTTGCTTCCTAAGGAGCAGGAGAACAGGTACAAAGAATGAATGAAAGAAGCTTTTCATTTTTCCTTAATCAAAACCTTCTTTTTAACTAGTCATTTGCACTAATAATTCACCTCCCTTCGACCCACTCAGGAAAAAAGATTTTCACTGCACAAGTGATGTGCATCTGGCCAAATTTTACTACACTGCTATACCTACTGCATCATAAATAATCCTTGGACAGAATCAAGAAATTAAGTTTTAGTGTATCACACACAAATAGTATCAATGCTACTGAATAACACAAAAACATTAAAAAATCTGTGCAGCTTTCATTAAAGCCTCACTTGTATTTTAAAGCCTTTTTTTCCACCTCACGTGTTTTTAGCTGTAATGCCCAACTGAAAAAAAAAAAAAAACAAAAAAAACAAAATCACACAAACCAAAAACACAGTCTAAATGCTCAAAATATGGCAGGCAAAAAAACCCCAAGTTCTGACATTTAAGCCAGTGTTTCGAGGGCTGACTTAACATTTGAGTTGTAGATGTTGACAGTGCTGCACACCTGACACTTAGTGCCGTTTTAATGTGATCTATCAGTTCAAAAATACCTTTTTAACTGATAAGGCAGAATCTTTCTTAAAAAGCGTAAGTAGGAAGCTAAGTGTTCTGAGAAGGCCTTCAACTTTACAGCTGTTTCCTGAAAGGAAAAATACACCCTGTAAGTATTTTTGCTCTGTACAAATCTATTTCAATATTAAAAATAAGAAATCTTACCAGGACTGTCACCGTGTCTTCTGTAATGCTCTCAAACAAGTGAAGCACTCCTTCCTCCAGAGGGCGAACATAGGAAGCGTTTTCATGGAGATACTGCGAGAACTGAGCACAGAGAGATTTTAAAATGGTGCTTGCTGAAGGCTCTTGCAGAATGTTTCAAGTTAACAATTGAATGGCTTCTTTAGCAAAGCACCTGTCATCTTAAGTGGTCCCCAGGACGTCAACAATAAGATACAACAGTCAAGTGATGTACAGAGACCTCTTCTACAGGACATAGAAACAGACACCTTGAGGGAAAGTGAGACAAGAGTGAAGACTACAATGGAAGTCCTGGCAAAGCCCCATCCAGGGCTTTGCCACAGCGCCCTACCTCATTTTAACTGCCATGCACCACACACCAAACCCTTGCTTTTTAAGTTTAAATATTCTTGCATTCCTTGCTCAGCTCCATCAAATTAAGGCTAGATTCACGCACCGTTGAGCTACCAGAATAAACTACACTACTGTTGTTTGCCTCTCAGCCCTTGTCCTGTGCATCAGCACAAACGTTTGTACAGCTATGCTGTGTGAAGTATTGAAGAACTACACCCAGTAAAAATTCAGGGCACTTTAGTTTTTATCTGTATCCAGTCCCATTTTCAATGTGCCTCAAAGCACGTCTATGCCAATGTGATGGATGGAGCAGTAGCTAATCAGAGGGAGGACTCTTGCTTTCAAGATCTATGACAGGTTTGGCCAGTTATAAAACTCTGGCCTCATAAAACTGCCTTTGTTTAAAATCACTTAAGTAAATTCTGTGACTAATTTCAGCTTCAAAGAAAGCATACCTGAGAAAAAAGGTGTTTACTCTTACACACAATCAAAATATAACAGTATCATCAGCTTTCAGTTTTGATACCACGGTAGTACAAAAAGCTTTTTCCCCCAGATTGGCATAGGTAATCAAACATGATTTTGGTTTGTGGTTTCTGTTTTTAATTTTTTTTTTTTTCATTTTACCCCACAGAAAGATACTTTCACCTTTGATTTATAGCACAATAGTAGCTAAGGAACCCAGGCAAATAGGGTATGAGAAATTTTAATTATTTCTCGTGTTATTACAGTGCAGTAACACAGTGTTAACAAGAAGAGAGAGATGCCAAGCTCTCATTCATGCATGCACAAATCTAGACAGATTTAGGAATTCTCCCTAATTCCAAGGAGGAAGAAACACATGCAGAATGCTCCTGACTTGTGTTGCAAGAGAGAAGACTGGAGTTATGTGGCACAATGCTGAAGACCCAGCAGAACCCAGCAATCCAATACTTAAAGAGAAAAGGAATACTTGAACCTGGAAGGGAATTGTCCACATCTACTTTGAGTGTTTGGTGGGGAAAATAGCTCGAAAGCGCCAGACAAGACCTGGAGTTGGGGAAAAATAAATCAGTGCAAGTGTGCTAAGCCTCTACTTGACACTTGTCTCATTTTCTGTACCACATTATGGGGAGGTTTTTGAACCACTCAGTGGAAGAGCTAAGATCATACTGAGAACACTTGCCAAGCGAATAGATAAATTAACAAAAAATACAGGAGCAACAGCAGCTTCAGCAAGTGATGAAAGATGTTTCATCGCTGGAAAATCAGGACAAAAGCTCTGAGAGGTAGCATGCACCAAGGCAATTAGGTCATGAATATACAATGGGGCAGACTAGACTACAAGAGATATAATTATGAAAACAAAGCCCGAATTATGGAATCAGAGTCAATTATCAGGAAAGAAGAATCAAATTACAGTGCTGATTAATTTGCATGTTTCAGCTGTATGAAAGCACTTCTCTGCTGAAAAGAAGCGTTAACCAGGACATTACCCAAAAAAAAATGCCTGAGAAGCAGTGTCTAAGAAACCTGATTTTATTCCCTTTGTGTAAACTGCAGTAGTGTCTCTAGAATCCAATCACCACACTGGGCCATGTAAACAAGGAGACTGTTACTGTCCCAAAGAATCCGGATGATGACAGAGCCACAGTTTTGACAAGAAGAGTGTGACAGTTGGACTGTGTTTGCTGGCAGGGGCAAGAAAATGTTGTTCTCAAACTAAGATCTATGCTGAATCTCTGGGAAGTGTATTCTTGATTCAAATAGTTGAAACAACTGAGAAGGTAAATAGAGTGGGATTTACCTAGAGAACAAACATCTTTGCAAGCGTATTTCCTGCCTGCAAAGAGACTAAAGGAAGTCTTCCCAAGAACAGGAAAGTTTTGTGATAAGTTAACACTGCCACTACATGCACTGCAGCCATTTGATGAATGCAAATCACGTCCACCTCAGTAGCTTAACTCTGAGCCATACAAACTACTAAACTGAAATCAGTCTGAATCAGAAAATGCTGTCATGCAGCAACTTAAATGTACGTAGGTCCATTTGCACCATGAAGTCAACAACTCTGATGTTAAAGCAGTTTTATTCTGAAGCATACATATATGGATCCCCAAACAAATTCTCGTGCACAAAGTTCTTTTCTATGCTTCATGGCATAGAAAGTCAAAAGATGCAGTTTAAAAGCTCTGAATTCTGCTCTCAGAAAAGTCCTCCCATGGAGTTGCACAGAAGGCAGTCAGGTTTCTTGTCATAATTTCAGCCTGATTTTCAGAGATGAAGTTTCAGAATGCTTAGAGGAAAGGTCTTTACACAAATAGCACCCAATCAAGTTACAAAGTTGTTTTTTGACAAGGGAACAGAGTCCAAGTTCTCTCCTTCATAAGCCTACCCTACAGCCAGTTCCTGTCACATTATAAACACTTTAAACACAAGACCTTCTGTCTCAACATCTCCCATGCCCCAGTGCATTAAGACAAACACCTATTTAGCAGTGCAGTATCCAAAATAAGTCAGCCGAACTTTTGACAAATGCACTTTAGTTTAGCACTTAAAAAGCAAAGCCTTGATTTGACTATCACATTGCTCTTGTAGCAGAGGCACAGGGGAAAAGGATTCTCTGCAGCTACACCTTCACCCACGTTCAGAGAACTCACCCAGTAGAAAAGACTTCTCATGCAGGAGAAGCTACCTCTGAGGAACACACTCATACCGCTCCAGTAAAGGAGGCAGAAGTTTGCATCACTACGATTATTCACTCATGAAAGTCTACATAACTGAACATACTTGCAGCTGAAATCTGTAAGCTTTACCTTTTGATTTAAGGGTGATATGGTGTCTGTTGCAGAATCAACAGGAAAGATCTGTACCTTCTGCTCAGTATACGTGTGGAAGTTCAGAAGAGCTGTTACAAGTTCTTGAACAAATGCCAGCGCCTGGCCAGCGAGGTCTCGCAACTTCAACTGTAAAGACAGGTAGAAAATTATTGTATTTGACATGTATCTATTTATTTTTAAAAATTCTATGGGTGGATACACAAATTTGTTGTCAATTATTTCTTTCTTGTTAATAGTTCAGCCTAAAAAACACAGCAGCAATTATCTTTGACTTGATTTTTAAAGGTTATGAATAAACTACAATGGGATACAGAAGGGCATGTTTTTCTCTAGTGGCCAAGTGTGTTTATTTCATACAACAGGTGGTGCTTCACCTCTGCTGCAGTTCTTAAAATACAGGCCAAATCAACGCTTTGAGGTGAGTACAATTATACAAACCATCTTTGAAATTAACATTTCTAAAAACCAATAGATTCATTGCTGACAACAGCTCATTCCTTTCAGTGTGTCGATAGTGAGACATTTTTAACACCTGGTTGTAAGACAACCTAACTTTAATTAGTAAAAACCAATCATGTTTTCTCTCAGAACAAAAGGTATCTGCTTCTCTAACCAGTTTACACTCAATTCTTATTCTCCCACCCAGACTGAACTGAGCTGCTGCTCATGAATAAAGCTGTTCTTTGGCTCTGGTGCAGTAGGAAGGTATCCAAAAAATTAATCTCAAATGGAACGTTCTGAAAAAGCAAAGGCAACACAGAATAAAACTACACTTGTGATTTACAGAGGAGAGAATAAGCTAAGAATGACTTATCCTTCAGAGTTGTATCCCTAATGCTTCAGTGGAGCGTTAAATCAACTGAATCTTGATTATGGATTGGGAATAGTGGCAAGTAATTAACGTGATCATGATACTCAGTTTGTGTATGTTAATTAGCTATGCAAGGAAGGAAAACAGACAATATTTCTGTTTTGTTGTCCTTTACACTGCAGCCTGTGCTACTACACTAGGATTTTGCCCCCATTGGCAAAGCTAGTCATAAAAATCTGTCGTGGAACACTTTCAAGACTGTGTATCTTGAAGCACAAGTCTGGCTGACATACTGCTAGCAGCAAACAGAGGGAGAAACTCTCCACACAGTATTTCAGGTTTTTCTTATAAGTCAGCAGTAGGGTGATTTAAGCTACTTCCATCACAAAACTGGACAGGAGGTCACCTGTTCTCACAGCAGACATAGTAAGAAGGTCTCGCTACAGGCACTTCTGGAGAAGTAGAAAGCAGCTATTTGAAGTCTTTCTAGAGTGACATCTGAATGCACTAACTTGAAGGTTTGGGACATACCATACAAGCAAAGAGAAAAAACAGAGTGCTGTGGAGCCCATCCTCAGTGGTAGCAAAACAGGAGAATTCTGACTGAATCAACGTACTCAATTTACTACTGTAAAAAGTCTTAATGTATTTAGCTATCCACAGAAAAATAAAGCTCATTTTTTAATATCAAGTAAACCACATTCCTAAGGGAATTGATGGAATTACAGTAATGAACAGAAACTCTTTTATAAAAAAAAGATTTAAATTAATACAGGTGATTTGGCTGCCAGAGATGTTTTGGTAAGAAATATCCCATTAAAATGTAACAAAACCATGCAGAATTCTCAAAGGTACACTAGTGACAAATAATGTTAACTAAAACGGTATTCTAGCAGACACACCAATACGCAGTTCACAAATGCAAAAATTCTTTTAAAACCTACTTGCCATGCTTTTCAGAAAGGCATGCCTGAGTTAATACCTGCAGTGACCATCAGCCAGTGGTCAGTGATCAGCTCCAGTGAAGCAAGATGGGCAGACAACTTGGCTCCTCGACATGAGAACAGTATAGACTACCTTTTGAAAAGCACAGAGGCTCTGTGGACAGAAAGTCCCTTGGAATATTATGGTAGTAGTTAAGACAGGCTACCTTATGACATCTCAAGTCACTAAAATAACTGGTTTCATTCATTAGCTGTGTATAACATTGTATCCTTACATATGAAGCCACAAGAAGTCCTTACCTGGTATCTTCTGTTGTGTAATGGTACATTCAGAGCATTGTATCGATTAGATCCTACAGGACAAAAAAACTGGGTTATATGCCCTTATTAAATCATGAGTTTATAAGAGACATTTATTGGTAAACAGCAATTTTATTTAAATATAAAATTCCATTACAGTAATATTACAGTTCATGTAGGTAATGCTAACTAAAAAGATACAATCAATTGGCTTCGACAAAGCAAGACTAAACATCCTCCCTTAGGAACTTGCTACTGTGACCATATGGAGAAAAAGCACCTCCATACTTGCCTCAGATTTTAAGCGAAATGTAACCATCTCAACACCCCAAATTTGATAGCTAAGAGCAGAATCCTCATGCCCAGAAGAACACTATTCAGTACTAACATGAGCAAAAATCTTTAAAAAAAATTAAACAAAACCCTTAAGGAATTCAAGATGATCTTAAAATTTCAGTTATATCCCAGGGACTGTCAAGTAAGATTAATATTTTTTTAATGATTTGCACACTTAAAAGGAGGTCCTGTACGTACTTGATTTTTTGATTATTTAGGATAAGATGTACTCTCCACATATTTCAGCATTCTGTTCCAGTCACAGAGCAACTAGAATGATTATTCAATTACAACTGAGCACATTTTTTAAAGATGTAGAGAGATATTTGCACCTAGAGAACAGCTTCCAAAGTCTTACAGATTTAAAAGCGATAACATCCAGACTCAAATGGAATAAAATCCACTTTAGTTTTCCTTTGCATGCAAATTTAATTTACAGCTTTTCATTCCTTTGTATCATTCACATTTGGCAATTAACACATAGGGAGAGGTAGTTGTATTCAGAATGAAAAAAAAAAAAAAATCTGTAAAAAATTACCAAATCCTATTTCTAAGTAAATGCTTCAGGCAAACTTTGTAACCTTTCTACTCTCAAAAAAAGATACTTAGAAGACGAGTCATATTACTATTACTGAAACTGAAGCCAGCTGCTAGTTACACTTAAAACCAAGTAGAGCTGGAATCCATAGCAGACAAATATTTCCTGACTTTCTGTTATTCTATTACTAAAAGACCTGCCCACCGTTTTCTACATAAGCAAAACCAGTATGCTATGGCAGCTGAGTGAGCAGATAAATTGTGTGCATCAAAGTTCTCACTCCAGTGATAACCACCTGGAAATAAAAAAAGTCAACTCATCTAAAGAAGCCAGAGAAGTAGAAAACAGGCAGCAGATGCCAGGCCAAGTGATCTTTGCAGAAGGAAAGAGATGAGAAGGACATCAAATCAAGGTACCAACTGCTAAGTATAACATGCTGTATGAGAGTCAATATTTACCAAGAGATGATCTGGTGTTTCTAAGACAGGACTCACTGGATTGCCCACCCAGTGGAGAACTGAGAAGGGTTACCCCTACAGCACCCACCAGACCAGCTTTTAGAGAACCTAAGGCTATTCAAAACACTATAATTAGGTTTTAAACTTAATGAAAAAATGCAAAAGCTACAAATAAAACCTACCTTAAATTAAACAGCTTGTTTTCACATCCCTGCTCCTTTCCTACCACTTTCAGCTTTTTTTGCTATTCAAGGCCCTCCTAATCTGCCAGAAGACAACAGACTCCTGCCTGCCCAAGCACAACCTCATGATCAAGCTGTTTATGAAGGCGCTCAGTACACAGAACTGATCTGGCACACACTGGCTGATTCTTGTACTAAAGCAGTGCAAAGGCTGAGCAATCCTAACTTCACAGCATACCCTGCACATCAGTTTATCTAGCAGCAGTTGGAAAGGAAGCAGAAAATAAAAAGGTTTGCTTCTAATAAGAGTCCCCAAATTCAAAGGATCTCCCCTCCCCAAAAAAAGATGAATGAATCTCAGGCAAACCATGGATAAAAATTAGTCTGAGTGCTCTCTGATCAGGCATGAGACATGCTGACAGACTTCCCACTAAGTGCAGACCATTACTGATGCAATGCCTCATTAAGTCAACATCTCTGCAGCCACCAGTTTATCCCCATCTTAACTTACTGTAACACTTGAATATATCCTACCAAGAAAACAGTCTTTGAAATGAGCAACTAAAGAAATCTGTGGAGAAACAAGTAAGTTGACAGTGTTCCTTCATCTTTTACAATATTCTGTGAAAACTAAGCAAGACAATCAGCAAATTACTCAAAAGCCTTCAAAAGTTTTAATTATCATTATATATATAAAAACATAAAAACTTGATATTTTAAGATCACTGAACAAGACTAAGATAAATATTAAGGAATACTTATTACATTTATGTCCAAATGTCTGTTCAGATGTCCAACATTTCTTACAGCTACTAAATTTTAAATCATAAGGAGTACTTCCTCCAGACGGATACCCCAAATTAAACAAGAAACCCAGACCAAAGCCATACGTACTTGTGTCATTAAAAGGTACTTTCTCATTGATTATGCATAGAGATTCTTCCAGTCTACTGCCCAAAGCTGCTTGAAGATTCTTTAACTGCTGCTGGCTAAATAACAAAAAAGACAAACGAAAAACCACACGTGCACAAATTGTAAACCTTTAAATTTTAATCCGTATTGCCAACACCACAGCTCACCACAGACATCCCTTGAGAGTAAAAGTATCTGTATCTTTCTAGAAGTTAGATATTGTCTAGAAGACAATAGGAATTAATTTTCCTCCTACATGTCACGTTTAATACACACCATGTTTTAATCCCTAACAGAGGCAGTGAATGATGCCATACATTGTTGTAAATCATAAATTCCATTCTTGAGAAGCTCAGCTTACTTCAGAGTTCATCTTCACATTTTCCAATTCTGCAATTACTGTATTAGCTATATGAAGGCATTATTTTCTACCGGAATTTGAATGCGAATGAGAAAGGGTCTTTAAATTATTTACTACATATCTGATGCAGTACTCCAAAATGCAAGTAGTGAGTCGTCAATAATTCAGTTAACTATCTCATATCACTATTAAAAATACCTCACAAGCCTTCCAAAGCCCCATATTTACATCCTGCTATGATGCAGCCCATTTCCACAAGACCTGGCAATTATGTTTCAGATGCATTCCCAAGTGATGTTTCTCTAGATCTGCTTCACTTGCATTTGATTGTGTGTGTAGATGTGAATCTCAGTTATTAAGCTGGCTAATATCACTAATTCTTGAAATGAACAGTTACATATTCCAGCATTACACACATACACCAACAAACCTCACTGCACACTGATTCAGACCAAATTCCACACCTTACCCAAATTATGTCCCCAAAATCTTCATTGTTTTGCTTCCTGTTTCACATCTAGAACTTCTGCACGTATAGTGGAGGGTGGGGGAAGGTGTCAAAGTGACAGTTTTTTCCTTTTTTACAAAAACATTTGATACGTGGAAGTTTATTACGACTAACAAGGAAAAAGAATCCAAACTAGACAAGCAAGCTATGAAGACACTTCCAATAGGTAGCTCATGCACTTCAACGATTTTTTTTTTTTTCTGGAAAAGCCGCTCCAAAATTAAATACAAACTGTACGGCATGAACTGCAGTAACATTGGGCATGACAGAAAAACTTGAGACAAACTGCAAGAGTATGGATGTTTCCTGAAGGTAGGGAGGCTCTGCAGAGGGATCTGGACAGTCTGGATTGATGGGCTGAAGTCAATGAGATGAGGTTCAAGAAGGGCAAGTGCTGGGTCCTGCACTTGGGCCACAACAACCCCAGGCAACACCAAAGGCTTGGGAAAAAGCTGCCTGGCAGAGAAGGACCTGAGGGTGCTGGTGGTCAGCTGGCTGAACATGAGCCAGCAGTGTGCCCAGCTGGCCAAGAAGGCAAACAGCATCCTGGCCTGGATCAAAAACAGGGTGGCCAGGAGGAGTAGGGAAGTGATTGTGCCCCTCTACTCAGCACTGGTGAGGCTGCACCTTGAACACTGTGTTGTTTTGGGCCCCTCACTACATGAAGGACATTGAGGTGCTGAAGAGTGTCCTAAGAAAGGCAATGAAGCTGGTGAGGAGTCTAGAGAACAAGTCTCATGAGGAACAGCTGAGGAAACTGGGGTTATTTCACCCGGAGAAAAGCAGGCTCAGGGGAGACCTTATCAGCCTGTACAACTCCCTGAAAGGAGGCTGTAGTGAGGTGGAGGTCAGTCTCTTCTCCCAGGTAACAAGTGACAGGACAAGAGGAAACAGCCTCCAGTTGCTCTAGTGAAGGTTTAGGTTGGGCATGAGGAAAAATTTCTTCACAGGAAGGGCTGTCAAGCATTGGAACAGACTGCCCAGGGAAGTGGTGGAGTCACCATCTCTGGATGGCCAATTTCTCATAATGGCATTAACTACTCAGTCACAGAATGTGACATACAAGCTCTGAGCTGCATAGTAGCTGATCAGGACTACACTGTTTTTCAAACACCACAAAAAAAGCTAACAGCAGCAAAACAAAGCTTTTGTCTTCATTTGCAAGTCATTCTTAGTGAAACCCTGACTTGGATTAGAGGACATTTACTGGAATTCAAATGTCTTTGCATGAATCCAAACAATTTAACTACAAACTTCAAGGTTACCATCTGAAAGAAGAAAGTCTTCATCTGACCAATCACTATGGATTTTATCCACTACTTATAAGATCTAGACTGCACATATCTTTAAAATGCACCTTAATAACAATCTTCAGAGTACTGCACCCTAATTTGATTCAGCCCACCGTTCTCAGCTTCTTCCCATTTTCTACAACTTGTCTTCAAGACAATGAAGGTATTCCAAAACTTACATTCCAATATGCAAGTGGTGAGTTGTCAGTAATTCAGTTAGTCACGCGACTAATAGAAATACTAACTGTATAACTAATAATTTGTATTCCATACAATGCTTCAACAAAAACTTTCAAAAATAAAATCCTAGCTGAGCATGTTATACCTGAAGCAAAAGTGATTGTTCTAGAAGCTTTTGGGGTGGAAGGGGATTTTTGGAAACTCCCTTCAGTTGGTTGTCTCAGCATACCTTACGCAAGCTTTGTTTTTAGAAACAGTTTGTAAAAACTCACCTATCTTTGTTCCATGCAAGTTCAGTAGTTTCTTTATATAGCATTCCATTACAAATAAATTTTTCAAGGTTTCACCAACTTTACAGCTACTTAAAACAGTCTGGCAAAACTGCTCCTACTGAAAGCCAAATCTGTGGAACTGAATGTCTATCTACACACTCAGCAGAAGGAAAAGGGGTCTGACCTGCATGGACCCCGCACGGTCTTGATGTTAAACTTTTTATCAAAGTCTTTTTCTTTTCTTTCCTCTTTTTTTAAGGTATTACTCTTTAAAAACAATCCAGTTAATCTTTTACAGCAGTTATGTCTTTAAATCAATTTTTCATTGTATTAAATAAAAGCACTTACCATTCTTCGGTTCGAAGCCTACAGTCCTTAGCTTCTCTTTCTAGTGTCTGAGACTTGATCTTTATGCAAGAAGATAATCCCACAATGTAAGTACTGACACAGCAAGACATTTCATTTCAAAACTTTTCAGACTTGCAAGTAATAGAAAAAACCGCTTACTTCTAATTTGGCTTTATCGTTCTGCAGCTTCTCTATGGTATCCGTGTACCTCCTTGTTAAGCTGTCCACCACAGCCTGGTGCTGGGCAGCGTCAGTTTCCAGAACCTCCAGCCGAGTTCTCAGCTCTGCTTCTAAACGTTTGTGCTGCTCATCTGCTTCGAAGAACTAGAAGAAAAGCAGAGCTCACATGAAAGCTTCATTTTACTACACAATCTAGTCCTATGAGTTACACCAATTTAATTAGACAGTGCAGATTAAAAACTAGTTCTCAGGCAAATACAAACTTCATTATGACATTTACAGAGAAAAGATTCAGGAACAAAGTACTTTGTGTTTATTAGAGTTTTGTAGTACCAAGCATTCCTTAAATATATTACTGATTAATAGCAGAGACCTGAAAAATTAAACCTGAGCTGTAAGGTTTATCTCAAGTTTTCTAAAGGTCAAGTGAAATGCATTCTATTTTGTTAAAATAACTCCTGACTTAATTGTGGCAACTTCCAGAAAATATATTAAGCTTTACGGCAATTCTAAAACGGTAAACTAAAAAGCTTCCAGCCAGTACCAAGTAAATGGCTATTTTCAGTAGAGTGGCTAAATGTCACCAAGGTTAAACATCTAAATGGGAACACATGCATTATGTGAGTTATACCACACATCATCTCAAGCACCTGAAGTCAAAATTTGCCCAGAGAACATCTTCACAGAAAAGCTATCTGATCTCATGTACTGGTTAGTAGACAACTAAGTTTCTAAACTCACTAGTTTTCAGAGGGCACTTTTATTTTCTCAAACTTTGTTCACGTGGGACATTTTCTCAACTATAAAGAAAGGCTAAAGAAGTTTCACTCACGAGTATATGTAGTCGTTCATTCTCTTCTATCTTCTTTTGAAGATCTTCATTGAAGACACTTTTCTGCTCTTGACTCAACTGAGATGAGGATTCTGCACTTTTCTAAAAGAAAAAGTGCATTCATTATCTCCAGGTCTCTGGAAGTATCCCAAAGCCCATCCCCAAGGTTATGAAAACACCTCCCATTGCCAATTCCCAGCAGAGCCACACGAGTGTATTTAATCTTCCCTGCATTGACTAACACATCAAAAGGGACACATACTGCACACAGCATGAGCCTAAAGAATCATAAAATACGTTGAGTAGGAAGGGACCTCAAAAGGTCCAAACCCACTACAGTCAGCAGGGACATCCCCAACTAGATCAGGTTGCTCACAGCCCCATCAAGTCTGACCTTGAATGCCTCCAGGGATGGGGCCTCCACCACTTCTCTGGGCAGCCTGTTCCAGTGCTTCACCACTCTCACAGTAAAGAACTTCCTCCTAATGTCCAATCTAAATCTACCCTACTCAAGTTTAAAACCATTGCCCCTCATCCTGTCATGACATGCCAGTGACCAGTCTTTCTCCACCTCTCCTGTAGGCACCTTCAGGTACTGGAAGGCCACCATAAAGGTCTCTCTGGAGCCTTCTCTTTCAGGCTGAACAACCCCAGTTCTCTCAGCCTGTCTGCATAGGAGAGGTGCTCCATCCCTATGATCATTTTTGTGGCCCTCCTCTGGACCTGCTCCAACAGTTCCCTGTCCCTCCTGTGTTGAAGGCTCCAGAGTTGGACACAGTACTCCAGGTGAGGTCTCACCAGAGCAGAGGGGCAGGATCACCTCTCTTGATCTGCTGGCCACGCTTCTATTGATGCAGCCCAGGATACAGTTGGCCTTCCGGATAAAGACAGCACTTTTTCCTTCAGGCCATTGCTGCTGTAGAGTAGCAGAACAGCAACCCAGTGAGGACTAAGGGAAGCCTCTACTCAGGCATCACAGTCACAGGCACACCAAACTGCCTGTGTGCCCAGGTGCCCATCTGATGCCATTTGTACCCTGCATGACCCCACAGTCAGTAACACGAAACCCTAGGCACACAGGCCATTCTGGTGTGGTAGCCATGTGTAGGGCACTTCTGCCCCCACCAGCTGTCCAAGTGTAAGCTGCTCTGGTCTCAGCAGGGACCAGGAATCACCACTGGAACCCCACAGTGGGCCATAGCATGAGGTGGCACTGGAAAACACAGGGACTTCACGTGCACCAACTCCCCTGAGAATACAGACATCTCTCTACCAACTGGTTCCTCATTTTCCACACATTTTGTCTTTTACCACCAGTGAATCCCACACTGCTTCTCTGCTCTACCACACAGCTGAACAAAGGTAGTACCATCACCAATCAGTGGGGAAACTGTCTACATTTAAACACTGCACCAAATTTCAAGTTCCCGGGACAGCTAAGCCACCTCTGCATTTGATGTCAGCCTATGAACTGCAGCATCTAAGATACTGGCATATGTTCCTTCTAAAAGGATTCAGACACCTGAATTTTATCTATTTTCAGATGTGATTTACATGGTTTCCAAATAGCAAATCTTCTGAACTAAAGGTGACATGGAGTTTAGTGGGGTTGTGTTTGATACAATGTGTACTCAGTGAGGTCCGACAGGAAAAACTAAAAGGAACATAATTAAAAGGCAGCACAAACACTTCTTAAAAAACACAGAACTGTGTCTTTTGACAGCTGAACAGGAAATAAAGTCAGTGGCAATGGTTTGCAAAGCTACTCAAGCCAGGCTGAGGCCCTTCAAAATTTGGACACATGTCTAGTGAAGCACTAAGTTATATAACATGAAATAAAAGAACAGAAGGGTCAAACTGCATTTTGAAGAACAATCTACTATGGTGTGTGAATAATGTAAGCCAGAGGTACTACGCTTGTTAAGGAGCTGGATAGCACAAAAAAAATGCATAAGAACTTAGAGAAGAAGTAAGATGATCATATTACTAATCAGTTGAATGATTTCTTTCTTGTCAGTCTTGATAGCTACAGCATTTTGGAAGCTAACCAAAAAGAGAAGATGACAGTAATTAAGAGGAAGGTAGCAAAGGATGTCTGAGAATTATCCAAGTTCAGACACACCAGCCCTGGAATTCTGATGTTACCTACAGACAACACAACTAATCATAGACAGAAGATGGTATAACCAGGTTTAGTCAGCAAGCATTTGGCAAAGAAAGATCCCAGTACAGGAATTACCCTGTCATTCTGAAGTAATGTATGGAGTAGCAGCTAAAAATCGAGTTCAGGGCACTTGACAAGATTCACATAAGAACTGACTATCAAAAGCTACACTGACAGACTGAAGAGTTAAACATCCACATCAAAACTGCAAAGCAAGGAGGTGAGGATAGGAAATGAGGGGAGGTCAGTTTTCTTCATAGCAGCAGACTAATCAAAGAGCTCCAAGATCTTTCCCAGCTTTTTGAACACTTAAATAACTGGAAAAGGGAAATAGCAATTCAGTATCAGTCAGCTGATGCACTAGAAAGAAGACTACATTACTACTCAGCATATAGTGTATGTACCAACACTTATTTTGTGGTTATTTTCACTAATATCAGTTTGTAACAAGCTCTGACAAAAACATTCAGCTCAACCCTTCAAACAAAGCAACTACTGCTAGAAATCAAGATAAGACATTGACAGGTGAAAAGCAGACATTGCTAAACAAGTTTTTTTTGCCTTTAGCACACACTTTGTTCTTCTTGCCCCTAGCTTCACTTAATGCAAGTTCATCTTGAAGTAGCTCCACCCGCTTGGCAAGCTGCTGATTTCGAAAGGTCAAGCTGTCCATTTCTTGTTGCAGTTTTCTCAGTGATTGATCCTTCATCTTCAGTTGCTCCTGAGTGACCAACAAGTTTTAAAATTAAAAACTTTCACATATGCTTTTAATAAAAGAATCACATCTAAAAGAACATAATAAAATTGCTTTCTTCACTATTTGAACACTGAAGAGCCAAAAAGTATTGCTTTTACCTAAAAAAAACCAACATATTTGGCCTGTAAGTTAATCGCCAAAAAGCAGCCTTCCACTTTTAGAAAGCCTGCACCAATCAAAAGCAATGAAGTGCAGTTGCAGAACAGAAAGTCTCCTACTAAATCAAATTCCTTCTTTATTCTCTTAATCACAATACTTTGAGTAAAAAGCATTCCTATATATATATATTTTTACAATTTAATACATCTGACATGAACAGTTTTTAGAGGTTACCTTCAGAGAAGCAGAGTTTGCTTGCTCATCTACAACACCTTTTTTCAGTACTTGGTTCTGAGCTCGAAGCTGAAAAATAAGAAATTCCAATAACTATGCAAGACAAAGTAATAAATAAAAGCCATTTGTTAGAACATGCATAGATCATCATATCCTCTCAAAAGAGCAACAGATTAATACTTGAAAAAGCATGTACAAGTAGATATTAGCAATACCAGGCTGAAAAAAGTATCCGATTCATCCCCTGAAATGCCAAGAAACAAGAACTTGTTTTACCATCTGAGTACTTTGGTCAAATAGAACATATTTCTTTTTATATATTTTTGAAGATTACTTAACTATAGTTAAGGTCTGAAGAACAGGGAAAAATATGGAAAAGTAGCAACTTCTTCCCTGACTAATCAAGTTCCTGCTCTTATTCAGTGCTATTTCAGTCTCTCCCCTTCTTTTCCCCAAAACTCTTCATGACTGATTCTAGAACATACATGGGGCTCTCAATAAAGTCAATATCTGCAGCAGTTTAAGAGCTTAACTATAATGTAAAAAAAAATATTACTGGTAGGTGCAGACGATGCAGAGAGAAGAACCTGACAAACAGTTCAGGAAAATGCATAAAAAGCATGGAAGAAAAAGCCCTCTAAGACTTGCTTATATAGTTCACAAATCTGATTGAAAATAACTGGTGAAAAGCGATACTGGAGAAATGTGTTTCCCCGTCACTTCACAGAGTGCCTCTACATTGCAGCAGTGAGGATACTGACTCTTTCATCCTCCCATTCCTTGGTAACTGCTTGAATCCTGGTTTCTTCAACGGCAGTTTGCATTCATGGGACGTGTTTCAGTCCAGCTGCTGCAGTTATAAGTTAAAAGCATTTATACAGCGTTTGGGAATACCTCTGGCAGATACACGGAAGGCAAGATTGAACATAAAACAGCAAGGGCCAATCTTTCCAGCCTGAGGACAGCATATATTTGAAAGATCAAAAGTCAGCTGACAGTGCCAAGCACAGGCTTTTGCCCTGCAGCATTCCCACTGTGCTCCTCAGGCATTAGCAAGGCAAGAGAAGAAACTTGCAAGAGCACCACAGAAGGACTTCCAAGCACAGGACATCCCTGATCACTTACACAAAAAGAAGAGTTACCCGCAAAGAGGATCCCACAAAGCTCTGGAGCTGTTGCACAAAACTGGGACAAAACAAAAAAAAAGTTCCTATAAAGAACCAGTGAAACATCCCAGGGTCAAGTTGTAAGATGAAGTTATAAGAAAGCTTTTGGACACCACAATACTAAAAGAAAGAGGATCCAGCAGCTAGAATTTTCAGAAGCTATGGTCTGAAGTCTACATTTCAAAGTTTCATTCAGGAATCAAGCAGCCAATATCCTGAGCCATTTTTAATCTCCAAGGCACAGCAGAGGCACTGTAGAAAGCAATATGAAAAAAGTGAACTCTGTGACCTACAGCGCCCCAAAGTGAATTCAGTTTTCTTAAAACGATTGTGTGTAAACATAAAAAAATTTAAATATATGTGAGTTATTTAGATTCTATACATGGGTTTTTTACAGCAGCTTCAAGGAAAACAGTATTTAAAGACACATCATTCTGTAATCTAAGGAAAGGTATCAGATACCCTGTACCAAATACTGATGCTGAGCTACACAAAATCAAAGCAGTGGCTCACTTTCCCAAGCCCATTGAAGAACTACTGTTATTCAAGACCAATGGTCTCCTCTTCCTTCTAGTGAAGAAACAAGAACAAAGAGCTCTGTATTAAGAACTATTTTAAAATCCACCGTTTAAGAAATCATCTCAAGAACCTCGGAAAGAAAGGGCATTCTCTGCTACAGGACAGAAGTCTGCAAATACTCCACTAAGCAGCACCAGAAATGGAAAGCAAAGTCACTGAGGGCAGCTGCAGAAGAATGGGAATAGAAAAGCAATAGAATGGCATCAAGTGTCCTCACTTCCAAGACACTGCACGCACTGCTTACACCACTGACCTCCCACATCCACCAGTCAAAGCAAACTCAGAACCTATGGGTAAGACACAAGACCAAGACCTCATCAACTGCTTGCATTCAAAAGATAACTAAGCCTCACGCCAGACTGGGAAGTGGCAAAGCGACGGAGAAACTCTTCTAGTTTTACTTCTCTCTCATAGCCGAGCCCATTAGTTGTCCTACTGAATGCTCTGCAGGCAAGGCCACTCTGCTCCTCACACCGGCTTGCCCAGCAGGCACTCAGCAATACGCTATTCATTCCCTCCGCACCTGCAGACTCGCACCTATCCCCAAGCGTTTGGGCCTCAAGATGCTTCACGCCGCCA